ATTCTGCGAAACTTACACGTCGTCTCCCGCCATAAATCTTGATAACAGGTGCGGATATATCAATATTGATAATTGTATAATGCCTTTCGTTAAAATAGAAAATGAAATATATGTTCCCTCAGCATATTTTGAGAAAGTTCCTGGCGATCTTGTGCTTTATGACGTATACGGAGATGACCTATGGTACATGAAATATTGCTGCTTACTTTTGAATGTTTACTCTGATATCCGCAACAAAACAAAATGTATATCCATTAAATTAGCTGATATCAGAAAGTATTTTTCGAGTATATCTTTTTATGTGCCTGATTTGTCAATGCGTCGCAGAGTTCTCCTAAATGAACCTCAAAATGGTCAATCAGAACAAGTTGTACCTTCATCTACTATTGATCTGACGGTCGAAAATGACCATACACAAACAATTGATGATCCTAATGCATCTGTTACTCGAGAAATAGAAAACAATTCTACTAGTACAACTGTTGGTACTAACGTATTTCAAAAACTTATTGTCGGTGGAGTCGGAGAGTTTCTCAAAACAGGCGTTTCACAAACTGGCAATAATTTCCGTGGCACAGATAATTCTCAAACCAGTGCAATTGGGTCATCAGTTGATGAAGATGAGATGGTACGTCAATTTTTAAGGAATTGCATTGCACAACTTACTGTCAAACTGGCAGAGAAGAATGACCTAACAGATTTCTTAAACCATCAAGAATTTACTTCTGCTGATAGTTACAGAAATCAAGATATATTAAGAAAGCTTTTGCGTAACTTTTTCAAGGGAATTAGACAGAAGAAAAAAAAAAGAAAGAAGGAAGTTATTTGCAGAAGAGTGCAACCGTCTAGACAAGCAAAAAAGAATTTGCAAAAATCTAATAACAGAAAAAGAAGAAAATAAGTAACTTTTGCATTAATGTTAATCTATTTGAATTTCGAATTGTTTATTAATTCTATGGAAATTACAACAATTATGTCTGAAATTTATTTGTATTTCTGGTGATTGTCCTAATGATGTTAGGACTTATACTGATTTTTAATTATTATATTAATTCAATTTCGATAATTACATATCAGAAGCTTGTGTAATATAATTTATTTAAGTATTTATTAATTACATAAATTTTATAATGTTTTTATATCAAATTTTATATAAAATAAAATATATATATATATATATATCATATTTTCCATAATTGAAAATGCTGAAAATGATGTGCGCAGCAAGAAAAAATATAAGTATGCATATTTGTTGCTAGTTTTGATTTTTATAATAATAAAATACTTATTAGTTTTTATTGCTGTTTTAGTAGTTTACGAATGTCAATATATATAGAGTTTTGTGATGCGAGTAATAAAAAAAAATTATGTTTGCTTACTATGTTATTATGGTTGGTACTATGTTACACTAGTTGGTACATCGACAAATACGAAACTTTTATAGTATAAAAGTATAAAATTTATACGATGCTTTTGATCGAGTTTTTTTCAAGTTGCAAAAAAAATCATAAAATACCATATTACAAGAGCCAAATGCAATTTAAGATGTCAATCTAATACGTCAAATACAAATAAATAAAATAAAATTAACAGCTTAAAAACTTAAAATTCTGATTTTTGCTTTCTTCCTGAAATAGTCAATTTGAATGGAACATATAAATAAAATTTCTAACAATATAATAGTAATTATAAACAATGAGTAGATCATTTGAAATAATATAAGGTGTACGTTGTCCTATACATATTAATGTTTTTAAAAAATTAAGGCTGAAACGGTGGTATTTTATTATAAGTGTTTCTTATAACTTATTTTCTGCAGTAAAATCATATAATTTTTCTCATAAAATTACAATTAACCAGCGCAATAGCTTATAATTTTTCTTAAAATTACAATTAACAAGCGCAATAGCTTATAATTTTTTTATTGTATTTTTTTAACAATAATCAAATAGCAATCTGCTTACAGAAGGCATTTAGTAATTTTGATGGTCGGTGGTATAAATAATAGAAGTTTAAAATATTACCTACATCACCAAAAAAATTAGAAATTGTAGTCTGAAGTAAACAAATGTATGGTTTACAAGTAAAACCATGTCTTTTGTGTATTTTCTTAACCCGCACCAATAACATGTCGTAAATTAATGAGGTGTAATATTTAGCAATTTGATGATACACTAATAAATTATTTATTCCTGATTACAATATAATAGCAATATGTAGTCTTGTTCATGAGACCTCAAGACCACGCGATGCGGGTGACATGTGACATTGATAAATCGGTCAGGGGTCGGACCAGGCCACAGCGCACTTACATGAAATCATATAAACTCTGATTGTAATTGTTCTGCTCGTCAACAGATTAACTGCGTTTATTAGAGATCGATCGATCTATTTCCAGCGTTTATTATAGTAGAGAAATATTCAAATGCAAAGTGCAAAGTGACAGGCAAATATATTCCTGACTAGTAGTGCATGGTATCGTGTCTTAAGGCAAATTGCTGAAACTTCCCGTACAAAAAATTATTTTTTTGGATAACTTTGTAATAAAATAGATTCTTGAAAATTTTGAAATTTTATAAAAAAAATATTTCTTAAAAAAATCTGTTATTTATATTATAAATTTTTTCGCATATTTCTTTTTTTTCAAAGCAAGCGCGCCGCTTCGCAGTCTAACGGATAAACATTGGTACGAAGCCCATAGAAATGTAAACAAAATTTGTACTTAATATTAACATTTTTATAAAATATCTGATAATATGATGTCCATATGTCTAATGTTCATTTTCGACCGCCAAATGATTTTTTTTATTTGATTTCCGAAACCACTGGACCCGCCTTGCCATTTTTTCATTTCATTATTATAATTTACAACAAGTAAATTTGTTGACTTATCTTACAAAAATGTTTAGTTGTCTGCAGGTAAATTAATAAATGCTTCGAGAAATGCACAGTTGCATTCCTCCCTTAAATTAGAGTATTAGAGTAAAAGATATGTGATTTAAGGGTTAAGTAGATTTATAGGCGTTTTTCTTTTCAATCTCTTGGTGTAGTTTAATAGGTCTTCTATTCGGTGTTTATATTTGATGGCATATCTTGTGATTATATGACTTACTGTGTGCAGACCTGTATCCTGATGGAAGCAGTCAGGTCGGTACGTATTTTGGAGCATTCAAAATAGTCCTTATCATCTTCTTTTAAAATTTTTAGATGATGTTTATATTGGTTTTGCATGTTGTACCTAAAGTGTTACACCATACATCCATATTGGCTTTAGGACAACTTTGTAGATTAATATCTTGTTATAAGGTGTTTAATTTAATCAGTTTTTTGTTTTTTCAATACAAATAAAAGGTTTTCTCAAAAATTAAACTACAACTTGACTTTTTTGCCCCGAATCTTTGAAAGCCTCTGTCAAAAGCTAATCAGCACGTCTCCCCATTAATGAAATGTTAAAATCGCTTGATTCATGTGCCCGGAATCGTCGACGAAAATTTGTATCCGAACACATACACACACATGCGCATTCATTTTTTCTAAGGTATGCCACAATGATCAGAAACTTCCGAAACGTAAAGATATGCAAACAATTTCATTTTGGATATTGTTGCGATTACTAGAACTTAACCTACGGGAAGTTAAAAAAAAAAAACTGAGAAAAGTCGGAAAGGGTAAGTGTAATTTACCCTTAATTGATAGTTTGTAGATATTGTCATAATAATGTCATTTTTATTTATTCTTTTTATTTCCATATAATTTTCTATTGCCGAATTTATTTGCTATTCATGACTCTAAAAGATTATATATACTTAATTAATGTTTTAGTAAAGGCAAGTTATAGTAATCGCAAAAAAAATCTAAAATGAAAATCTTTATATATCTTTACGTTTTAAAATCTTCTGAACATTTTGGCATACCTTAGAAAAAATGGATGTATGTGTGTGTGTGTGTGTATGTGCGTGTATGTGCATGTATGTGTGTATTTTCGGATACAAATTTTCGTCGACGATTTCGGGAACACGGATCAACCGATTTGAATAATTCAGAAAACATTCGATTTGTGTTGATAAGGAGACGTGCTGATTAGTTTTTGGCAAAGGCAGGTCTAGCCGTTCCGAAGATACGGGGAAAAAAGTGCCGAAAACAGTAACTCAGTTTTTAAGAGAACGGAGCGTCCGATTTGAATAATTCAAAAAACATTTTACTTGTATTGACAAGATGAACAATTGATCAAATTGTCATGAGGGCAGGTCTAGCGGTTTCGGAGATCTAACGAAAAAAGTAAAAAAAAATCCATTTAGCGGTCAAAAATGATCATTGGACATATGTACATCAAATTATCAGATATTTTATAGAGATTTGAACAATAAGTATAAATTTTGTTTACATTCCTATGGGTTCCGTACCAATGTTTATCCGTTAGACAGCGATGCGGCGCTTACGCGCTTTATATTTTGTCTCTATGCAGTTAAAGCAGTACGATTGCTTCGAAAAAAAGTTCAGATCCTCCGAAATATGTCAAAATATAGAAAACATTTTTTTTTTTAAAAAAAATTAAAAAAAACTAATTTTTTGTCCAATTTATAGTTTCTCAGAAATCTAATTTTTTCGAAGTAATTTTTTTTCAGAAATGTTCATACTTATTTATCTATGGAAATGTTATTCGTTTTTGAAAAAATAAGAATTTTTGATATGGGATGTTCCAGCAATTTGCCTTAAGGCACGATGCCATGCGCCTCAATGCACGATGCCCTAATTGCCTTAAGACAGAATTCCACTGACAGCTATTTCCATATGCAATTAATTAGTATCTTTTGCGACGATTATCCTAAAATGAGGCCGAAATGCTATCAAACTCGTCCACCCGCGTTTAGATGGCGCCTAAGCGCATAAATCATAGTATGCTTCCCGGCTAAGGTTTAACAAGGGCAACGTTCGTCAGTCGGCCTGTGGCATTCACGGTGAAAGGATGTCTGTACGATCTGCTCCGAAGTCGGCCGGTCACGTTGTATTTTAACGTGTTACAACTTAACGTCAACTTACTGTTATCTTTCGAGAAATACATAATTATTTTTTATTGATTCATATTAAATGATATATGTGACTGTCATCGTTTTTGAGTTTGATAAAATTGTGTGATCATTTTTCTTTGTAACGGTTGTTTTAACATGTGTATGTCAAAAATGTGAAGACCCTAAGGAAGGTTTTATCAGTCTCATGGAGTGATTTATATAAAAAATAAGTGTTCTGAAAGTGATCTGTTTTGTTTTGTGTGTAAATTATTTTAATTCAACTTCGAAATGGTGGATATAAGTTCAATTATCGAAGGGACCGTTAAGTTTCGAGATGGCAAAAAGGTTAATATTAATATTATTGATTTGTTTATTATTTGTTCCTCAATGAGTATGAAAAATTTTACAACATCCTGTCGTTTATCGTATAAAACGCTATAAAGACTGCAGAATTTAATTAATGATGCTAGATATGGTTGCGTTTATTGCGAAATTATTAATTTAAATTGTGTATTGATTGTTTATATTATTTTCTCTTTAAGTAAATTTAATTAACTTGACGGTCACGCGTGATGATAAAATATATTCCATTGATTCAAATTAGAAATAAGTAATAATAAGGCAGATGAGGTAGACTAGACGAACAGAATAATTTTCGTGGGGAAATATCATAAATTGTTCTTCTTGCAGAAATTATTTTAGAAGTATTTTGATAAAAAGTCTGACAAGGTTTACACATATTGTCAACTTTGTAGTTTTTTGTATTGCTTAAATTTAAAATAATTTTCAAGCTTTTCCTTTCCTCCAATTGGATAATCTTTCACCGGTCTTAATTATAATTACTGCATATCATTGCATTATAAACTTGAGTTTTCTAACATATCATAGTTTATAAAGGCAATTTACATGATTTTGATGTTTTATTTAAAGTTCTAATTATTTTATTGTACCTATACACTTTTTTTAAACTTTTATTTCTCTCGAATTAATTTGATAATATTTGACTGTTTTTCATTATAATTACTGAATATCGGTGCATTATAAACTTGAGTTTTCTAACATATCAGAGTTTATAAAGGCAATTTATATGATTTCGATATTTTATTTAAAGTTCTAATTATTCTATTATAAATGTACCTTATAAACTTTTCCTTCTCTCTAATTAATTGGATAATACTTTACCGGTCTTAGTTAGAATTACTGCATATCATTCCAATATAACCTTGAGTTTTCTAACATATCAGGGTTTATGAAAGCAATTTACATGATTTTGATACTTTATTTAAATCTTATTGTAAAAGTATCTGTACACTTTTTTCAAATACCAAAAATTAAAAGGTCAAAATCATCACGAAAACTAAATAAATTCAATATTTATGTAAATATTAATGCAATACTGCGAATTGTGCAAATTACAATATTGAAAAATATGTTTGTTTGAGTTCGTTCAAAGTCAGTTTATATTTTAGTTTTTTAACAAAAATAATGTATTTCTGATTTCATTCAATCAAATACAAACGAAAAGGCTTATCAAATATTCAATATTCAAACAAATCATACTTGATTTCTTTGTTGATTTCAATTTAAAATTATTTTCAATTATGTTCTTCATTCAAGTAATATTATTTTCATTGAAACCTTTTTAAATTTAAAATAAAAATTTAAAATTTAAAATTTAAATTTTTAAATTTTAAATTTTAAATTTAGTGGTACAATCAATTTTTAACCGAAAATAAGTATGCGGAATTAGCTTGAATTCTTCTTAATATAATAGCTTTTTATTGCTTTTTTTAAACAGTCATATTTAATATTAAAATTATCTCGAACACTGTCGTAAAGAAATAATAAAACTTATAATTAAATGTCATAAAACGTTTCGAGTTTATTGATTCAATGTCATTAATCTATTTCATAAGTATTTTCCTTATCTTTTCTCGCAATATATAAACCAAACTAGTGGTGCATGGCATCGTGCCTTAAGGCAAATTGCTGAAACTTCGCATACCTACCAAAAATTTAAATTTTTAAAGATTAATTTTTTTAGAATTCTAAAAAAACTCGATTTTTGAGATTTTTACATTTTTTGCAAATAATTGACCTTTTTGAAAAAATTGATTTTCTTTATACTTTGAAATATTTGGAAATTTTGAACTTTCTTTCAAAGCAAAAGCGATACGTTAGCTGCGTAGAAACGAAATCCCGAAGCGCGTCGGCGCCGCGTCGCGATATTACAGATAAACATTGGTACGGAACCCATAGAAAAGTGAACATAATTTCTTATTATTATTATTATTATTTCTAAAATATGTGATAATTTGATGTGCATCTGGTCATTAGACAGATCATTTTTGTCCGCCAAATGGCATTTTTTCACTTTTTTATTGTATCTCCGAAACCGTCAGACCTGCCTTCCCAAAAATTCTTCATTTCGTCAATACAAATAAAATGTTTTTTGAATCATACAAATCATACGTCCGTTCTCTCAAAAAATCAAGTACCATTTTTGGCACTTTTTGCCCCGTATCTTTGAAATGGCTCAACCTGCCATTGCCAAAAACTAATCAGCACGTCTTCTTATCTATACGAATCGAATGTTTTGCCGAAATCGTCGATGAAATTTTGTATCCGCACGCGCACACACACTCGCACACTAACACACACATACATACATACACACAAGTCATCCATTTTTTCTAAGGTATGCCAAAATATTCAGAAACCTCTGCAACGTAAAGAAATATAAAATTTTTCATTTTCGATTTTTTGGCGATTACCATAACTTAACCTGCGGAAAGTTAAAAATAATTCCTATGTCGAATTGAAATCATAGTTCATTTATAATAGTTTTAGTCATTTTATTCTCAATTTTGGAAATTATGCTGAAGATTGAAACCACCTGAATATTCAGATTTCTTTATATTTTGTATGAAATGAAATATGCACTCTTGGTGTTCTTAAATATATCAAACAAAAATTTACAAGTGTAATTAAACATCAATAACATTTGTCTAAGGTCTGGTATATAAATTTTCCATGCGGTGAGTAGGTGCACATATATGCAGTAGTAAATTGTTGTATATTAAATTGTTGCTGTAGGTCATGTATAATGCGCGCACGACAGCTTAATTAATGTTTTTCTAACGAGACGTTCAGAATACATATGAACCATTTACCTACATGTGTATAATAGTTTCAACACGCTACACCTGATGTATCATAATGAAAGATTGCTTTCCTATCATATTAGTTGTTTTTGTCTAATTAATTCCCCATGAATATGGGTGTCTGGTCTGATTATTACCATCACGGAGTATGGTTTCAACAAGTTTTGCATAAGGTAACAATAAAAGGAAGGGCAAGTATGATGTAATGGGACAAGTTTATTTTCATATCGTTAATAATCGAAGATTAATAGTTTATTAGCACGTAGATAAGTACTAATAGCGAAATGAAATTAATTAAACATAGTAAATAAGTATAGGCAAGTTACATTATGTCTCTATCTAAAATGGTAATTTGTGGATAAGAGTTGCTTTACTACTCAGGCAGTACAATTTTTGAAAATATTCATTAAATCGTAGAAATCGTCAATAATAATTACTAAACTAACTATAATTTTAGCTGAACTATCTAAATTGTATAAAGCTATAACTTAAATTTTAGCTGAACAAATAAAATGCGTATATTTGAACTAACTAATACTGATTATATTGCTAATTCGATATAAACAAGTGAAAAATATCGTTTAAAGAATTGCAAATTGATTGTTTAATTATTTCACTATGCAAATACTTCTAAACGCTTATATAATTTTATCATCTTCGAAATTATTCAAAATATTTATCTAGTTTTTTTCACAAATATTTACCAGAATAATACTACAAGTATATTTTGAATAATACAATTAGGGTCAATAATTTTCTTCAAAGCCAAAATATATTTTTAACTTCCCGTAGGTTTTGTTCAATTGTTCGATTCCTATTGATGAGAAAACGTGCTGATTAGTTTTTGGCAAAGGCAGGTTCAGCGGTTTCGCAGGTCCAATAAACAAAGCAAAAAAATGCCATTTGGCGGTCAAAAATGATCTTTAGACATATGCACATTGAATCATCAGATATTTCATGGAGATTTTAATAACAAGTACAACTTTTATTTACATTTCCCTTACCAGTTAGACTGCACGCGGCGTTTACGCGCTTCGATATTTCGTCTATAAAACAGCTACGCAGGGCGATTGCTTTAAAAACTAGTTGTATGGCATCGTGCCTTAAGGCAATTGCTGGAACTTCCCGTACCGTAACGAAATATTCGAGAAATATTAAATATTTTCATATAATTTATTATAAATACAGTAACATTGTCTTTTCCCAAAGCAATTATTTTGTCAAAACAAGCAAAAAGTTTTTTGAATCATTTAAATCAGATGCTTAGTTCTCACAAAAACTGCCATTTTTTGCTCCAAAATCTAATTACCACCACCACCATAGAATGTTTTTTAGATCATTCAAATCGGATGCTTCGTTCTCTCAAAAAGTCGATTTCCATTTTCTGCACTCATTGCTCCGTATCTCCAAAACGGCTGGACCTGCCTTTGCTAAAAACTAATCAGCACATCTCCCTGTCAATAGGAATCGAATGTTTTGTGAACCATTCAAATCGGTTGATCCGTGCGCCCGAAAACGTGAACGAAATTGTATCCATACATACATACACACACAAATCCATTCTTTCTGAAGTATGCCAAAATGTTCAGAAACCTTCAAAACGTGAAGAAATGTAAAAGTTTTCAATTTCTATTTCTGGACGATTACAATAACTTACCCTACGGGGAGTTAAAAAGTTCAGAATTTTCAAGAAATTACAAGATATTAAAAATAAATAAAAAAGTGAAATTTTTTCAAAAACTTCAAAACTCTCAAAAACTTATTTTTTTTCAAATTTTGAAAAAATTTTAAAGTTTTTTGAATAATTTAATTTTTGGCACGGGAAGTACCAGCAAATTGCCAAGGCAGGCATATACTAGTTAATTTCAAAACCTACGTCAATTGCAATGTCTTCAGGAAATATAGTGATAGTTTTGATTATTTTATTATGTTTTTATTAATATGTAGGAAAAATTTCAATTAATAGACGTGTATTCCGCCTTCTTATAGGTATTCAATTTATTTATATTATTTAAAATATAATATCGCTATATATCACGAATTTTCATTACTTCAACATTATTTTTCTCAAACTTTTCGTACAACTATTTCAAATTCACTCAATGATTCATTCACAATACTAGGGTTCGTTTGCATAGAAAAGTTAAACACTGGCTATTACAAACATAGGCCTCGTTGGAA